TCAGATCACTCAAAGGAAGAGACAATCAGGAGGGTTAGTCTGGAGGCAATCACGCAGGCCACTGCGGTTGCCAAGACGAACAGGGCTCTTCGTACGAAGACTACTGCTACGGGTGAATTTCACTACAAAGAGGGAGATCTCGTGGACTATCATCGCCCGACCACCACGAAAGACGACTGGGGTGGATGGAGTGGTCCATGCCGGGTCATCCGCAACGAACCTGACCGAGGCCAGGTCATCGTGAAGGTCGGCAATCGCGAAGTGCGAGTACAGTATCCTGACTCACGACATACGCTGTACATCGAAGCACTGATGGTCCGCGAGATAGGATCGGACAGTACGGCCCTTCGGACAGTGTTGGCCTTTATTGCCGGTCTGCCAGCGGGGAAACCCGCTATGACTTTCGGATACCTACCAGCGAAACAGGGCCGACTGCAGATGACTGCTGCGAGCCGGCTTTCGCCTAAGGTGCACTTGGCTCTTCAATATCTCATTCGCAACTATTTTCGCATTGAAAACGTGGTTGCTGTACGACTTGCTAAGAGCCTGACTAAGTTGCCTGCTGCACCATATGCAGACAGCTGTACACTAGTGCACTATGATAACGATGTGACCCCTGGCTTTCATTATTATGAAGCTGATGGCACTGCCTTGAACATCTACGACATCACAGGGTCTACACATTCACGCATCATCCAGTGTCTTAAATCCAAGAAGCCGCTTGCTGGATTCGACCGAGACCTCACTAAGTTTGAGGAACTCGCTGATGGCGCACCACCAAGCGAGCCACCTCCAGCAGCTGCTCCTGAGCAGCCTCCTGCGGCGAATGATGGTCGGCTCCCGACCATCATAGAGGAAACAGAAGAGGATCTGGATGTCTTTGTCTTGGAGTCATGGTATGCTGAACTGATGGATGACAGAACACTCCTTGAAGCTGACACAGAAGAAGTCATGCACACAGTTCCGACATACATGACAGACTCACAGTGCGTGTTGGTCTCTACGACCTGTGAAGATGTGCAAGGCCACTTGCCGGTGCGGGGTCACCCGCCAGGATACGACATGGACACCTCTTACTACGTCCCTCTGTGCTCCACTGATCCGGACAGCCACTATGATCTGGACTCCGACGAGCACGGGAAGTACATCGAGCTTTGCTTCACAGCAGACATGTCCAAAGTCGTCCTGTCCGAGCAGCAACACCGATTGTTGGATGACAGCAGCGTCACAACTATGCGAGTATATGTTAGTGCTGCCTCCAAACGTGCCGTGGTCGTCAAAGAAGACGACCTACTCACGAAGGCCGACATTCAAGCGAATCCGGTCAAAGTTTCCAAAGCCCTTTACACAGAATTGAAGACTTGGCTTGGCAACAAATGCTTCCAGATGACTGACTTGAGCAAAGCGTCGAACATCATGACTTCACGCTATGTATACAAATGGAAGTTTGTCAAGAACGAGAAGGGCGACATGGAACGGACGATCAGGTTACGCTTGGTACTTCGTGGCTTCATGGACATTGAAGCCTTCGATGTCGAAACCTTCTCTGGCACGGCAAAGAGGTCAAACCAGAGATTGCTCGCAAGTTCTGCTGCGTGCAACAAAGCTTGGATCATCGCTTCCCTGGACATCAACATGGCTTTCTTGAAGGGACTGACCTATGGCGAGCTCGCCGCGGCAACTGGCGAGAAAGAGCGCGTGGTGTGCTTCGCGCTACCTCCTGGGTCAGCAGCTGTCCTTCGCACATTGCCAGGCTTTGAGTCATATGACGAATCAAAGCATTGTCTTCGGTGCCTCAAGCCGGGGACTGGCACGAAGGATGCTCCCAGGGCATTCTCGCTGAAGCTCAGGTCCATCACCGGGAGCTTTGGACTACAGCCTACTTCATACGATGAAGAGTTCGAGATGAGTTCAAACCTCTTGACAGCCAAACACGTTGATGACATCAATATGACTGGGAAGGAAGATTCCATTGACAAGTACGTCAAATGTGTTGAAGATACGTTTGGAAAGTGCAAACTGAACAAGCACACATACACAACTTGTGCCGTTCGGTACAACAAGACCGATGATGGGAGCGTCACTCTTGATCAGGACGAATACATCAAACAACTTCGTCCTAGCACACATCCAGAGCTCACAGGCGCTGACCCTGAGAGCAAAGCGACAAAGACGATTTCTGATATGTTCGTCAGTCTTCGTGGCGCTCTAGCCTATGCGTGGATCACGCAGGTATGGCTGATGGTCTATGTTGTTTCACTGCAACGTATCCAGGAACCGACAAACATCCAGGTACGACGACTGAACGCGGTTACCAGGAAATTGCAGGCAGGTCCGAAGAAGATCGTGTATCAAGCTATGACTCCAACAGGAGAGGTCGACCTGCATAGCGATTCTGGCTATCGTCGTCTCAACGGAGATGAAGACGACGAAGTCAAAGGCTACGGTATCCGCGGGGCTAACCTGCTGAGGCGTGGCCACACGCAAGCGGGGAAACCCGTCGTGCACCTGGTGGACGCATACTGCAAGTCTCATCGACTGCAGGTGCGTTCGAGCTACTCTGCGGAAACACTGGCAGCAGCCCACAACTTGGAAGACTGCTACCCGACCATTGTAACGCTCCACGAGCTACACTCGGGACCATTGACCCCCACACAGTTGAAGAACATATTGGAAATGGGTGGTCTATGTATCAAAGTCACTCTGACTATTGATGCCGAGTCTGTCTTCAAGTCTTTGTCTAGCAAAGATCTGAAGAAGCCCACAGAATGCACTCTGCTTGGGCACATCAGCTGGATCCGCCAGATGATGGAGCGCGGAATCGTTGAAAGCGTCTCAATGGTGTGACACGCGGGATATGACTGCCGATGGTCATACCAAAGGTAGTATTGACCGCGCGTTGCTCCTACAGGTAATGGCCGGTCAGCAATCCTTCAAGCACGAGCTGAAGAAACATACTCCGTATAGGGCGGGCAGGTCGTCTCAGGACGGCCCTGCCTCCCGAGCTAGCGGGGAAACCCGCGCGCAGGTGCGCTTTAGTAGCGAGGAAACTCGCCGGTAGCGAGGCTACTCGCGCGCTCTTGCCTTGTAGGCAGCCGCTGTTGCCTAGCACTGTTTTTTTTCCGCGTAATGTAGAAATTCGGCGCTTGCTCGTCTCCTCCCCCTCCAACTTTAAACGGAGAGGGTTAAAGGCGATATGTAAATCGAGCATGCACCGCTGCCGTGCCTGGCTCAAGCCGGGCCCGGCGACATGTGATTGTGCCTCACCGAGGCGCACTACTCGCATCTGAGATCGGAAAAGACCTTTCTATTGAAGATGCCCCTTCTATCCTTTACTCCAGATCCCATGCTTCATCTTGCTCTCTTGCTCATGCGGTATGAGCCAAAGCCTGGGATATGGGAGCGCCTAAGGCGGAACATATATCTTGGCTTACCAGTGCGTTTTCGACTGTTCGGGGGCGCCTGGGAGACATGTTTGAAGCCTTCTGGGGCTTCTTTTGGGCCTCCTGGGAGTCTCCTGGGGCCTCTTGGCGACATCTTGGGGCCTTTTGGAGGCCTCTTGGGGCTTCTTTGGGACCTCCTGGGCGCCTTCTGGGACGGAGGGCTCCATTTTTGAGTTCTCGGTATCCCTCCTGAGTCCCTCTTGGGCCCGTCTTGGGGCCTCTTGGTCCGTCTTGGGCGGCACTTGGGCCGTCTTGAGGGCTCTCTTGGGTCGTTTCGGCGCCGTCTTGGGAGCTTCGTGGGCCGTCTTGGAGCGGTCTTGGGGGCCTCTTGGGCCGTCTTGGAGCGTCCGGAAGCCGAAAAAGCCAGAACACAAAAAACATTGAAAAAACCAATGAAAATCAACGATTTTGGCCTCTTGGGGCTCTCTTCGGAGGCCTCTTGGAAGGCTCTTGGGGCGTCTTGGAGGCCTCTTGGGCTGTCTTGGGGGCCTTTTGGGCCGTCTTGGGGTCATCTTCGGCGTCTTCGAGCGCTCTTTGGGCGTCTCGGGGGCCTCTTGGGCAGTCTTGGGGGCCTCTTGGGGCACTCTGAGCGCGCTCTGGGGAGCCTGAGAGGCCGCACCCAGAAGGAAAACCATCTCTGAGTAGACTTGGTCGGGCGGCGGTCGGGCGGCGACCGGGCGGCGACCGGGCGTTGGTCGGGGTACTTTTCGCCGGGGGACCCCCAGGGGCCGCCCCGCGCGCGCGAACTAGAAATACTGTTAATACTGTTAACCAGTTACCGGAGATCTTAGCACGCCCTGGCCCGTTGGGCCGGCGAATTTGATTACGTCCCTGGCCCCCCCGCTGGGCCACGCACATGCCGCCGGTCATGATTTGCACCCCCCCCTCCTGGACACCCCCCTCTTGGCCGCTCCCGAAAGAAGGGAGCAGAGAGATGGGGCCTCCAGGGCGTTGGTCGCCATGCTTCCCGATGTCCGCAAAGGGCCGTCGCCGCGTCGGACCTCGGGGCAGATGCCCAGCCGCGGGGGCGCGACGCCGCGGCCCGAGCAGCAGCAACAAGAGGGGCACCCCGGGCGGCGGCGCGAGGGCGTGGAGGGTCGCCGCCCCTCCGGTCGAGGGGTTCGCTCGGGCGGGCTCTCCCGTCGGGGCGCGGAGAAGAGGGGGGTGATGACTTAGGGGGGGAGGAGGAGGGATGGGGAGGAGGAGGAGGAGGAGGAGGAGGAGGAGGAGGAGGAGGAGGAGGAGGGATGGGGAGGAGGAGGAGGGATGGGGAGGAGGAGGAGGGATGGGGAGGAGGAGGAGGAGGAGGAGGAGGAGGAGGAGGAGGAGGAGGAGGGACGAGGACGGGGTGGATATCATGGCGGGGGCCATGATATTTCCCCAGATCTCGTGGCGCCGCTTCTCATTTCATGACGTCCCTGGCCCCCCCGCTGGGCCGCGCACGTGCCGCCGGTCATGATTTGCACCCCCCCCCCTCTTGGGCACCCCCCTCTTGGCTGCTCCTGATCTCGGGAAGGCGCCCGAGACGGGAAAGCTTGGGGGGCATCCTCCTGCCAG